AGTGAGGCTTTTTTCCAGGAGGCCTTGGGTGTGTGCATTCCCCTGAAAGCCTCAATCTCCATTCTTCAAGTGGCTCAGATGGGTAGTGAGGTCCCGTGTTGTACCCTTGTTCTATCCATAAATCTGTTTCCTATACCTGTTGCTTGGACTACTGAGGCCCTGTACATCTGGGAAAAACTTTCATCACTAGGGTCCAACAACTTTGGAACCTTACCCCAGCCACCCATTATCTGAGTCCCTTAGCCTGTGCCTCCACTAACCCATCTTTATCATATAAACTTAGGTACAATTAAAATAGACACAGTTTGTAAATCCTCAAATCCCCTGAAACTGCTCCAGCTACTCAAAGTCACACCACTTTCCCTGCCTCCTCTCTTCTTTATCCCACAAACTACAACAAAGACCCTTCCCAGAGCTTCTATTCTGTCTCAGCATTAAGACTGATCCCAGGCCCTCCTCCTGTATGTTGCTTCACTGATGTACCCCTGTTCAGGGAACTGTCAAAAATCATCTTTTCAAATGCAGGTCTTTGATGATTTTACATGTTAAAAATTCTTTAGCCATACTCTATTTTAAATCCCTGTTTTTTATACCTCCTCTAGACTAACCAGCTACAAACACAATTACACATTTCACCTCCACTGCAGCCCAGTGGAGAAGGAGATGCCACTGAGAAATTAAGATCCTCACTCAAAGGACACAAATCCAGGCCACTGTGCTGAGATTCACTCACACTTTGTCTCCATGTCCACGGGCAAACTGTGCTAAGAAATGGGACCTGATTTTCATTTCCCTGTATGAGCCTGCACTCAACAGGGCCCAGGACAAAGAATGTCAAATATGGACCAGGAAGTACTCACCCTGAGTTAGGCAAGCAGTGAAAGAAAACAGGACCAAAGCACAGACCCACATCGTGGAAGGACAATACCTCCCTCCTAGGTGCAGTGAGGTGCTTGGTGTTTGGAGCTGGTCCCATCTCACAGCTATATACCAACCCCCTGAAATCCTGCCCCCTCTGCCAATTTGCATAAGATAACCAGAAGAAAATTCCCTGCCAAGAGCTCTCTGGGTGTCTAGTGGGATATCTAAGCCACACCCTCCTACTCTGTACTCTCTATTTGCACAGTCATTGCCCAACTCTCAGATAACAGAGGCTCATAAACTAACCCAAGGACTTCTTACAAAATACTTGTCCCTATGCCAGTGAAACTTCAGTTTTCTGTGAGCCTCCCAAAGGCATAGACTAGCATAGCAGGCAGGTGCCTTCAGTAGGGGAAGCTTTGATCTGGCATCCCCCAAAAAGGATGGAAGATTTCAGAACAACTCAAGGCCTCTAAGCATGTCAGCTTCAAGATTTGGGCACATCTCTCAGCATCCTGGGGTCTGTGCTTCCTCGAGTTCTAAGACCATATTTGGAACCAACCTTACTTATGCTTTATGCAGTGTCCCCCTAATGTCTAAATACTGCCTTTGCAATACTCCTGTCAAGTGCCCAACCTTCTCCTGGCATCTTAGGTCAGAGAGATCACTACATTAAAGGGGGCAGGCCCTTTCCACAGTAATGAGGACTCCATAGCCTAATTCTGCCTACCCATTATCCATTCATTCTTGGAACATTTGCCAAAATGTCTGGCATTTTCTTCTACCGGAAATAAAGAAACCCTGCAGGATTAGCCCCCAGGTGCCTGTGAGCTTAGTTTTCCCAGGTGAGAGACTGAACTCTTCCCAGTGCTAACACATGTGGTGACATATGTGTCATTGCATCCTAATTTAGCTGTTTGCTGAGGCTTCTGTTCTGCTTAAGGGTCTACGATATCTGATATGTCGTTATGTATTTTTCTTTTTCATCCTTTTCCCATTCTGTCCTCATATTCCTGTCTTGCATGCCCTCATGATCCTCCCAGCTAGTTTTCATGTCACATGGGTTCCTGAGCTGGACCATCAGGTCATTCTTGAATGACAGGGTCCTGAGAAGGAAGGTCCATGGGTCAGAGTAAAGGACATAAAAAAAGATGGGCTCAAATGGGCTGACATAAGCTATAGCTTATGCCAAGCAAGTTTATTTAGTTGTACAACATCTTATGTACTATTTCCAGGAGAGAAATGGAATAGAGGTAGAAGAAACCATCATAAAATTGAAAGAAATTAATTGAAAGTTAATCAAATGTTGCATAAGAGGAAAACAGGGGAATCTGAAGAGCTTTGTAGACCAAACACAGAGCAGCCTTGGGACTGACAACTGTAACCCGGTGTAGCTGGAAGATATGGGTTCCCAGGACCCAAAGCTACAGCTACCCCAAGGGCCTGGCTCTAGCACATTACTGACTCTGATAAGCATGTCCCTGGTATTAGATAAGTAACCATGTTCATTCTCCTATCTGACAGCCTCAAGGAAAAGCTCCCAAGGCCCTGGATCCAGGCTGTTACTGGCTCTTCCAAACATGCTCCTGGTTTAGAGAAAGAGTATGTTAGCCAGGTTTCTATTCCTGTTACAAAATGCAGTGGCCAACAAGCAAGTTGGGGAGGAAAGAGTGTATTTGGCTTATACTTGCAAATCATAGTCCTTTACTGGAGAATTCAGGACAGGAGCTCATGCAGGGCTGGAACCTGGAGGCTGTAGCTGATGCAGAGGCCATGGTGGGGAGCTATTTACTGGCTGGCTTCTCATGGCTTTCATAGCCTGCTTTCTTAAAGAAACCAGGATCACCAACCCAGGGATGGTACCTTCCACCATAGGCTGGGCCCTCCACCATTGATTACTAATTGAGAAAATGCCTTATACCTAGATGTCATTAAGAAATTTCTTCAACTGAGTCTCCTTCCTCTATGATGATTAGATCTTATTAATTTGGCACACACACACACACACACACACACACACACACATACACACACACACACACACTCACACACACAGCCAGTAAAAAGATCTGTGCTTCTCTCCATACATCAGGGCCTAAGAGAAAGCCTTGGGTCAGTCCAGGCCATAGGATATTCTCTTATTTGCTCTCTAAGAATCTCTCCCTTATTTACCATCTCTACTGCTACTGCCATTTCTCTCTCTCTCTTTCTCTCTCTCACCACACACACACACACACACACATGCACGCACGCACACACACACACACACTCATGCACATACACATCACAGTCATGTACAAAATCATGAATATAGATTCCACATATGAGAGAAAATAACATGTCCAGTTCTACATTGTCTTAGAACCATCAACCCCAGAAATGTGGAAGAGAGAAACCCATTTTCTGCTAAGAGAATGTTTTCTGCTGCAGTCAGGTGAAGCCTGGTGTGGTTTGCTTCTAAAAGTCTTTATTCCATTTGTGTAATAGTACCTGACCTATTTAAAAACAAAGACACAACTAAGTCATTTTGAGGGCAGGGGAATAGTATGCCCCAGGACACTGCACAAAAATTGGCTGTCTATACCAAATGATCAGCCCAGAAAACATACAAGTAACATTACACAGAGTAAGTAGGTTGTGTTTTGCATGTAGGTGTATGCATATGAATATATGTATGTAGCAAAAAATAATGAAAACAGAGGTCATGAATTTGAAAGACATAAAGGAGGCATATATGGGAGGAGTTGGAGGGAGGAATTGAAGGGGGAAATGATATAATTGCATTATAATATCAAAAGATTAAAAGACTTCAGGGCATAGAAACAAGCATTTAAAGTTTACAAAAGAAAAGTGTCCACTTAATTGCAAAGGCAAACTTGTCAGAAGTATACCACCCCTCTTAACAGACACTCTTGAAACAATAAGTAAATGAAAAAGCATAAAATGATATAGTCTAAGCCCTGAAGCAAATAATTGCTACAGAGGCTTAACAAATTATCTTTCAAAATTGATGGAGACCCAAAGACCTTCCATGACAAACCCAAACTTCAATCATGACAACTGTGACAGCACTGACAGTTCTGAGAACAATTCCACACACAGAGGAAGGAAAGGCAGTCGGCAAACAAGGCTGTGAGACATCTCCTCCACATCTCCCAGTGGTTGTCACTGTTCCCGCATGTTTCTGTGCTGACTGGTTTTTGGAGAGTTGCCTTGATGTTTTTCTCAACCCTCAACTTCAGACCTGCTCTTCACGGAGGTCTTCTGAATTGATACACTTGGGTGACCCCCAAGAGTGCTTGATATAGTGTTAGTCTGGCTTCAAACATGGGGGAGGGTGTTTTCCTAAATATCAAACAAATGGATTTCTCAGTGACATTGTTCTTCCTTAGCAATAGAAATTGCTTATAATCTCTACCTAGGACAGTTTCTTACCCCTCTCCCATTGGTATGGAAGATGGACATGGGTTTTTCTTGTTTTCTCAAGCCCCAGTAGTTCTTCACCAGGGCCCTGAAGTAGAGAAAGTTGAGTTTTCTCCCGTGTTAAAGGCCTGCATTCATAAGAGTACATATCTGAGCAGAGATACATGTCTACATAGCAGGAGATGGGCTTTCCAAGATCTTAAAACCAGCCTCCAGTTTTTCCATGAGCACCTGACAGACCCCCATGGAAAAGTTAGTGGTGGGAGTAAACGTCTCCTTAGGTGTGTGGTTAAACTCATGCTAGCCACATATCACCTCTGACACTTTAGTGAACTCTCCTGTGTCCTCCTGTATTTGATGATTTCTCCCAGCTGGAGGTGCAAGATGAGCCAAAGCTAACACTGAATTCTTCCTGAAAAATGTTTCCTCCCAAAATCAGAAGGAAGCATTTGTCAAGCCACACCCTACATGGAGGCATCTTCCTATGATAATCTCTTTATTTATATTCTCAGTCTAAGGTGGGTGAACATATAGACACTGAGTTGATCCTAAAATGAACATTTATTCTCCAAATTAAGGCCACAGGTACAACCATTACCTTCCCTGTCCCCTGCCCATCCCAAATTCAAATTTTCCAATCTTCTCTATGAAACATCTTCTATAGGGTAGATTTATCTTGACTTTGCTGGTCTCCTGAGGCTGGAAGTGCTTCTTATTCATAGCTCAGTATGTGCCATCTCTGGTGGTGGCGTCCTGGCCCTGAGCTTAGTCCAGAAAGTCACTTCCTTATCTTTCAGTCTCTGGGCTTGCTGGGTGGTGACACCAATCTGCAGGTAGCCTTCCTTCTGGTCATACTTTGGCCAATAGGGCAGCCCCTTCCCATTGGGGTTCCTGGGAACAGAATCAAATTGAATATCTTACAGTTGCTGTGAGGTCCCACATTCATAGGACGTTTATAGGGTTTCCTAGTTTATCTCTGCCAAATGCTTGTGTACAACAAGACATTGGAGCACACCATTGTCAAAATTCTGTGATCACAGGGTGGGATTTGATCACTTATAGCTTAAAATCTACCTGGTGCCCATGATCCTACCATGCCCAATGTCTTGGTAATGTCTTTGTGCTATTCTCACCCATTCCTAGCAAAGTTGGCCCAGAATTTCATCACCATCTTGCTGAGGTTGACTTCTTCTTCTGAGGCACCATCTGTGGGAAATATATATATCAACTTAATATGCATTTCATGAACCAACAATAGTTTGTTGTAAATACAGAATATGGGTTCTAACTCAAAAATTACTGTATCCCTTATTCATGCAAGAAGGTCATAGTTAACTGGTGTTCACTTTTAGTTTGAGAATGAATGATCCAGGACTAAGCTGTGAACATGCAATTCATTCCTAGCTGTCTGGCTTTGTTGTTCATACCCAGTTCTCCTTCCCTAGTCTAGATACGGATGCTGCAGCTCAGTGATGTCCTTAAATGAAAGCATTTCTGGTATGTGTGTCTTTTCTCAAGCTCCTCTTCACAAACACATATTCAAAGTTTGAAAAATATTAGAATAACATATATCCTAAAACACATCTAATTGGGAAATGCTCAGAGTGTCTTAGCAGCAGCCATTGAAATGGGCCAAATCACATGAACTGCTGAGAACAAGGGAAATAAAGATGCTCATCAAAGGGTTTTTTTTTTAATTTTACACTATTAACTATAAAGGTAAAACTACAACTTTTAGAAAAATAAATATGCATACAGACAGATAAATGCAAATGGCATCTGATTGACACCAACAGTTTGACCTCTTAACTCACATTCTGATATGTCATTTTGGGTGGGAAATCAAGCAGTGCAATTCTTATCTTCAAGCAGGTGAACTTGGGTGATACATTTCTCTTGGTTATATTAGTGGTCAGCATGCTGATGAAAAACATTGCTGGCTGCCCATGAGTATATACCTTTCCTAGTGTGTGCTAGAGTGGGAAAAAAAGACGGGCACCTGACAGACCAGCTCATTCCTGTTATCCTGAGTTGGGGAGATAGATATTAAACTCATAGGCAACAAAGCACCATTACCTCTTAAAATCGGGGCACCGAAGACAGAGTAGACTTCATCTCCATGGTCTCCAATCACTGTCTTGGGTTTCATTTCTGATGAGAAGCTTGGGTGATATTGAAATTCATACAGGTAGGTGGGGGCTCCAGCATCTAGGAAGACAGTTCGTATTAGCAGGCATGTACTTGGATGGTAAAAGGACCTCTACATGTGAAGGAACCCCAGGTAGTCAGCAAAGCAGACAAACCAATGCATCTCCTGGATGTGCTTGGGCTATTTAGGAAGGAGGTGGTGCTTGAATCAGGTTTTCATGGACTTTAGAAATAATAAATAAGATACAACCCCCCTGAAAAAAACCAGTTAGGTGTTCAAGGTAATGCTCTGGTGCAAATTCATTCCAAGAAGATCTACAGCCTACTAAGCATCTTCTATACATAGAGGAGAGAGCATTTCCCCATGCTTTGCTCACTCATTTCCAGGAGCGTGAAGAAAATCCAAGTGCTTGCCTGAAAGTTATTTATGTTTTTAATTACCATTTTAAAATAGCATAAAAATAATGGGTATCATTATGATATTTCCACACATATTTTGTTTCTTTAACCCACTGCCCTTCCCGCCCATTGCACCCACTTGCTTGTGCCTTTCATTCAAACAGCAGCCCTTATTCTTCTTTTAGGATACATGTATAACACCGTCCGTTTTGCTCTAGCTTCTCCCTGAAGATCTCCTCTAGTCTCATGGGGTTTTTTCTAGTTTCTCTCCTCCATGCCAATACACATACAAATTTAAATCTAGACTACACAGATAAGAGCAAACACATCATATTTATTGTCCCAAGTCAAGTTTATTTTACTTAAACAGGAAAATTTCCAGTTCCATTCATTTTCTTGCTAATGTTATAACTATTTTCTTTATAAAATCCCACTTAGTATATACCATGGATTATTCACCCCATTTATACATTGTCAAGTTCTAGGCTGATTATCACCATTGTGAATATCATGGTAATGAACATGGGTATGTAAGTATCTCTGTGGTGGAATTTATTAAAATTTAAATGTATACAGACAGGGAATAACCATCTTTCAAGTCTCAGGAATACCATACCATATAAAGCTATCATTCAGAAATAAGAGAAATAAAAACATATAAGCATATGGAATTGAGCATGAGTAGACATGGCTTATAGACATTAGAGGAGTTTTGTGTGAAGAAATGGATAGTAATAAACAACATGAAACCCATTAGCACAAATGTCAAAGACATAAATAGAATTTAGGACACTCTAGAGCTATAATGATTATCCATGTGGCAAATGGACTCCAAGTCCTAAATTTAAAAGGGAAAAATAGTACTGCAAACTATAACTAAAACATATATCCTATTGCTAAAATAAACTGTCCTTACAAAAGACAAGAGAGCAAATGAAGGTCACAGAGAGATGACCTGTGAGGGCTGGGAATGCAGCCCAGTGGCAGAGTTCTCTCCAAGACTGGTTTGGAACTGAGTTAAATAGCCAGAGAGGGGGCGGTATTTGTGAAGAGTATAAAGTTTTAAATGGTTTTTGAGGCTAAAGAATATCAGCAAATTTTAGCTAGATCCACCAGGCAAAAGAAATCAATAAAGAATGAAATAGATAAAATCATAAATGAAAGATCTTATACTACAAGTCACAGGAATTCAAAGGCTCATAAGAGATTATTACAAACAACTATATGAACACAGATTGGATCATCTGGAAGAAGGAAATGAACTATTAGTCCAGTTAATTCTACCAAAGCCGAACTAAGAAGAAACAGACAATCTGGAGGGCAATAATGAATGAACTTAAGTTAGTGATTAAAGTTTTCATCTAAGAAAAGTGATGATTTCCCTGAAGAATCACAACTGATGTTTAAAGAACTGGGAACCATATACCTCAAATTATTGCCAAAATTCCTCAAAAGTAAATGGCATATTTACAGTTTTTCTCCCATGAGGACAGAGTCACACAGAAATGAAAATAAGACAAGGCACTACAAGAAAAGCAAACTACATCAAAGTTCTTAATGAGCATAGACGGAAAATTACTCAGCAGAATACCAGCAAATCAATCCAATAATATATTGGGCAAATAATTTACCATGGTCAAACAGGACTTATACTTGTGGTTCATATCAGGTTAACACACATGGGGACTATGATACATCATGTTACAGGTAATAGGACAAACAGTCACTTCATTATACACAGAAAAAAGTATTTGATAAAATTCAAGTTTCATGATGAAAAGGTTTCTCTGTGTAAGTCTGTCTGTCCTGGAAATCACTATGTAGATCAGGTAGTTCAGGCTGGACTTGAACTCACAAAGATCTGCCTGCTTCTGCTTCCCTGACTACTTGGATTAACTAAACTTTGAGTCCTGACCACAAGGAGCTTCCACATCTGTCTACCCTAGTAGGTCAGAAGGTTAGAGGCCAAAGCTGGTCAGTCTGTTGCACCCATCCAACCTGCTAGACTCACCTCTGTGACCACGAGACACAATCACAGATGGTACACCAAACATCACATCCGCAATCAACTCTAGGAGCAGGGCTCTATTTCTGATTGGATCATCTGTGTTTATTGAATACCTCTCAATGGCAGCTGGAATACCATCCTCCAGTATGTTCTGAAATGGATGAACAAAGTGACCCCCTCCAGCTGAGCAGTGTGGCTTCACAGACAATTGAGATGGATTCATTTGTTGTGAGATTTCTGTGCCCTATATAAATCCCTCCTGAGATGACAAAATTAGAAAGCAGGAAAACATGGGTACAGAGCTCAATGTGCCTCAATCTTTTTCTGGTGAGACTGGGGTGACAATCACGGACCCTGCATGGGTCTGAGCTAGGTCTTCTGCATACATACCATGATTGTTTAGCTTGATGCTCCTATGGGACTCCTAACAATGGGAGTGGGAGTGTCTCTGACTCTTTTGGTTGCTATTGGAACCCTATTCCTCCTACAGTGTTGCCTTATCCAGGCTTGACATAGGGTTTGTGCCTAGTCTTATTATAATTTGTTAGTCCATGTTTGCTTAATACCCTTGTGAAGGCTGAGGCCTGGTTTTGTTTTGTTTTGTTTTTGTTTTTGTTTTGTTTTTGAAGGGAAATGGAGGTGGAGTGGATATGATGGAGGTTTCTGGGAGGAGTGGAGGAAAGAGAAACTGCAGTCAGGATGTAATGTATGAGAGAAAAAAAAAGAAATAGAAAACTAAATGGTTGGTAATTTATGCCAACGCCTCAGCCTGTTACCATGGATCATAAGATGCTTACAAAGAAATAAGCAGACTTCTTCAGGAGTGATGTGACCATTTCATTGTCTAGTTTTACATCAGTAGGTGGAAATTCCATGAGCTGTTCAAAAAAAAAAAAAAAAGTTGAGTATTTGTGAATCCTCAGAAATTAACAGGAAGAGACAACCAGGAAAAAAACCCTGGCCATTGTGGGATGAAGGCTCTGGCTCCTCATTCCTGGGTATGGGTCTCCCATGAGTGTAACAGAAATCAACAAAACAAATGTATTTGTGTCTAGAAAATGAAGAAATGAGATGAAGATACTTACATACTTATTTATCAGGCTGTGGGACCTATGTTCCCCTAGGCAGTGGGAGAATATTTAGACAAGGTTAAAGTAGAAACAGAAAACCCAATGAGAGGAACACCCTGGGTCCTTACTGAGGAAGTCACCATTCCAACCTTTATGGCTGGGTTTTTTGATGACATCCAAGAGTTGCAAGAATCTCAGCATGTCCTGACCCCATCAAGAATTCTACTCTTAGAGCCCTGATTCTAGCATTGTTTCAGCAGCTTGAGACACTGTGTGCTCCTACTATGCCTGACAAAGCACAATGCTTCTCCATGGACAACCCATTAATGGGAAGACTGGTCCCTGGCATCCCTATTACATAAGTCACTACAGAAAGTGACAATTATATCTGGCCATACAGAAAACATCACCAGCTTTGGTGTCAGGGATTTGAGTCTAGGTCACATTTAAGCTTTCCTTCCCTGTTAATTATATTACTGGGTAAAACCTGCCCTGTTTTGACCACTGTTGGTGAGTTCTGTAATCACTAAAGAAGAAAACCTCTTCTTTCCTATTAGATACAAATCAGTCAGATCAGCCTTCTGAACACTGTCCTGAGGCACTGAGAGCACTTATGGGATCCATGAGACTTGAGGTAACAAGTTCCAGGGTGTCTTTCTGTGCCCCAGACTGATGCTGCTGAACTCATAACTCCTTTCCTGATTTTTGTTGGTTATTTCGGCTGCACAATTATTGTCTCTACAGGCCCAGAAGCCTGGGAATTCCAGAATTCATTAAGAAAAAGAAATGACATGTTCCCAGGCAACATTTCTCAAGTGATAGTTGATAGGTGATGCCGAAGAATGTTTTCATGGAGGAATCCACACATAACAATAGGGACAGCTGCCCTAGACACCAAGCAAGACTTGCAAGTGCTTATTAGGTGCAAAGTTGGTTGAGTAATTGGTAGGAGGAAGGGCACCTGTCAAACAGTTTTTGTTTATGCTCACATTTGGCAAGATCCAGCCAAACTCTTGCTTGTTGATTCCCACTAAAAAGGGGACAGTGTTGAAATTCTTCTCAGCTAGAATCTTTTCTGGGGCCTTGGGCAGCACCACTCCATCAATCACAGTTGGCATGAAGGGATAGTGCTGGAGGAAAGAACAGAATAGTGTCAGAGATAACTGGCATCTCCTGCTGTGTCTGTCTATGGGACCCCATGACTACAGCTGGAACATAGACCCCATGGCTGCAGCTGGAACATAGACCCCATGTCTATGGACAGTGACCACATAAACTCAGGGTCCTGAGAAGGGAGCTAAAGTTCTAGAGTCACGAAGGCCTGATTAGGGACATCTGTCTATAGCAAGGTTATGATGGCAAAGAAGGAGAAGGGGGAGTGTTAACTCAAATTAAACATGTGTCCTGCAGATTTTTGTCATTTGCAGCACATTACCTAAAATCAACACTCACTATTATAATGAGGTGTTCCTCACTATACCTTAGGTCTGTAAGGTGTCATGAATGTTGAATTAGTAATCCTAAGCAATTGCTTAGGGGAAATGCAGAATGGATGAGCTTCTCACAACAATGTCACAACCCTTATATTATGTGTGAAGTCCTAGTTAAAGACATGCTATATCACATAGAAAAAAAAAAAAGAATTAGTAGACTTAGAATTTAGTGAAACACCAAATGGGCAGGACTTATTATTTCCATACCCACTCCCTAAGAAGACACTGCATGTCTTCAGCCTCACAATCATGCTTTACAGTATGAATTTTCAAATATCTTTGTATGAAGTTTAAACACATACATCCACAAGGGTAGATGGTCCCATTCCTTTTCCAAGGTTTTGTCATAAAATGTAGGTACCACATGATCTTTCCTCAGAATGGCCTCATCCTCAGATAGGCAAATATCCTCCCTTTTTTTGGATGATTTCATCAACACTGACTTCATGCAGGTCTGATCCCAAGACTGCCTGAGCCATGCAGTAGAACACCATAGAGTAGGAATCATGATACCCATCTTTAACTTTCTCTTTTATCTTAATCATGACCAAGACCCAAAACATAGTTCAATATTTTTGATCCAGGGTGAAATTCCTCAAGAGGGACAGATTTTTGTCTGTTTCTCTGTTGTATACCAGCTCAAAATCATATCTTTCCACACAATAAATACTTCCTTAAATTTTGGCAAATGGTTATGAGAATCTCATTGTGGCCTCAGAGACAGTTAAGGGAAGTGACAGGGTCATCAGGGAGGAGGTGACAAGGCAGAAGTAGAGGGGGCTGTGTGGTTGCTGAGTCTCGTGTTTGTGTTTCTTAGGTAATAGTTGTATCAAAAGAACAACAGGCTGAATAACTAATTTCGCCAGACTCTGGTCACCGCTGAGAGGTAAGTGCAAGGACAGGAGGGACAAGATGGGGGCCCAGCTTTCCATGGTATATGATACACTGTGGTAGCCTCGGGATTGACATCCCAGGCTCCTCCCTACAAACCCCCTGAGCCCTGTCATCCTGAGAGGTTTGTGATCAACAATGGCTCCCAAGACTCTTGGCTAGTGATCTCCACCTTTTTACAATGGAAAGTTCTAGTGTCATCTCTTCTCACAGGACCAGTTTTTGAGCAAGAAATGCAAATAGGAAAACATACAGAATTGCTGATTTGAGCACTGATCTGGCAGTCAGGAAGCAGGGTCAGCAGGGCCTCTGGTTTCCTTGACTCTGGTAACAATCAAGTGGCTTTTCTCCTCCAGGCCTCAACAGCACACACTAGAAATTAGTGTGATTTCCCCCGAGGGGAATTCTTCCAACTGTAATAAATTGAAAACTAACACTGCATAGCTGCAAACCTTCAAACATCCTTACCTTTTTGGTGTCTTCTTGTAAATCAAGCTTAAAGAGGTTCTGTGGAAACAAGGACATAGTATGGTGGTATAAAATCTGGTCATTTGGGCTGTGCTCTTAGTTCCTCCTTGGCTGATGTGAGAGAACTCTACATGGGGTCCTCTCTGCATGGTACAGGGTGGATGGAGCACAGTGAAGGAGGGGAAGCAGCAGAGAGTGATCTCGGGTCACTGGAGCTCTGGGGAGAATGACTGCTTGCCTGCATCCTCCTACAACTACCCCCTGTCAGTTTCTTCTTCACAACAATGCCCCAATTTTCCTGTAGAAAATAAAGTGGCAGCACCAAGGGGAGGTTAAGCTGAGTACATGGCCTAGCAGGATGGAATAAGCCTTCTATTCTTTCCCACTCCCCTATTGTCATTTAATAAGTTCTTATATCTGGATATGAGATGGGGTCACCATATTCCCGGAACAGCTAATCCTTTTAAATGAACTCATAACCATTTCCATTCAACAAAGTTTAAACAAAAACTATTGCTCAAATGTTGTGCTTGACAGTTTCTAAGCAGACAGGGTGTAAGTGCAGGGTGCAACTAACTTTTGTCTTCCCAGGAGACCAGTGTGCTTCAGAGGGGAGCCAAGGAATGGAAAGCTTAGGTACAGCTTCTCAGTGACATCCTATGAGCGCCCAGACCCAGCCACATACTAAGATACTAATTTTGTAAGGAATCTGTTTTAACCCATCCCTTCCTCTTCAAGGTTTCAAAAAATGTTTGCTTTCACAATAGAAGACTGACTCCTAGAAGCTCATTTTTAGCGCGCACACACACACACACACACACACACACACACACACACACACACACACAGGTATCAACAAATAAAGAAGGAGAGGACAAGAATCTGAGAGAAAGCAAGAAAGGCATGAGGGAGGAAAGGAAGAGCAGAAATGATGTAATTGTATTTAATTTAAAAAACTAAAAGTCATTTTTCAAAGGAAAGCACAAAAATTGCACTTGGCATCATTGATACTGTCCCCAATAGGTAAATAAATGAACAATTAAATAAATAAAAGTTTTAAAAATGCATGCATCACTTTAGAGTTAGATGACAAAAGTCTGAATGAAGCCTGGATCCAAAGCTGGAGAGCATTTTCACTAGATTACAAACCCACCATTTTCTGCATGATTTCCAAGAGCTCGTCCTCCGTCTTCTGGCGCAGGCAGTGAACAATGACAGCAGATGTGGTGGTTTTGCACCCAGCAATAACAGCAACTTTCTGCATGAGATGACAGGCAAACACAGAGGCCACAAGAAGCATTAGTTTCCATCCTTGGTGTAGACAGTGGTTTTTCTCTCCTAAGCCCCATCTCTACAGGCAGGAAAACCTTCCTGAAAACACTCCAGATAAGCTGGCGTGTTTTCTATGGCCCATGATTTTTTTTTTTATCATTATAATTGTGACATCAGATATCAATGAAACACTTTCATATCTTTTGTTATAACTTTAAAAAGAAACAAATATCAAAATATCTCAAGAGAAGCCATGCACCGACAAGTGAAGAGCCAGGATCTATGATTCCACCATTTAGTTCAAATACATTTGCTCACTTACAGGTCATTTGGCTTCAGCTTCCAGCACCCAGCTTATGAGAACCAATGTAGGTTACATGCAACCCATCTCAACATGCAACCTGTGTAGAACTGCAAGGCATCTGAGTAACATGATTCACAGGAAGGCAGGTGAGGTACCAGCAGAATGCAGCTTATGAGATCATAAAAGCCCTTCCTGTTTAGCCACTCTTAGCTCAGGAATCCCTTGAGTGGACTCTCATAAGCAGTAAGATCCCTCCACCCCCCCACACACACACACACTTCCAGGACTCAGGAAATAAAATGAAAGGACACAGGAGTTTTCCAGGTTGGGACTTACTTCATTCAATGAGGTGACATCCTCCATGAATAAACCTGAAGTGAAGACCACACCACTCTCAGAAATGGCTCTGTGGAAGAGGTTCTTGGCCAGAGGAGACAACACCTGAAGGAAAGGAGGAGAGGAGGAAAGAATTTATATGCATAAAATGGCTACCCTACCCTTTTTATAATAACTTTTAAGATTGTAGTTACATAATTTCTCCTTCCTTTTCATCCCTTCAACCTTTTCCACATACCCATCCCTTGTGGAATTCTCAAATTCATGGTTTCCATTTCTTAGTGGCCTCTCTCCTACCCTACCCATTCACCTAGGGACTTCAGTGCTCTGTAAAAATAGGGGAACTTATCATTCTTGGCCTGCTTATGAGAACTTGGATTTGAGATCCCCCACAGTTCCTCAGTATAGTAGAACCAGAGTATACAAAACAGAAAGGTAATGGCAAGTGCCATCATGATGATCAAAAGTGACTGAAAGATATTTTTGGCAATTTCTGACCTCACATGCTGCGATAGAATATTTATTAGTCAGAACTTACCATAAGAGAAGGGGTCATGGTAAAAAGGGCTGAGGATATAGCTTATGGGATAAATAACAGGAAGTGAAAGAGGAAGTAGGGAAGCAGGAAAGGTGAGGGAAGTGTGAAATGATCAGAAGTACAGAAGATATTTAATATTATATGTTTATAGTGAAAAAATTGGAATACCTCAATATCCATATATTAGGATGCTGGGTAAATAAGCAATTTCTCAGTTTTGATGTGGAATAGTATACAATTATAAATCATAGTGTTATGTAAGACTGCTTAATATTTAGGGAGATATTTGTGTCACAGTGCATTATTAAGGCAACTTTCACTGCAAAAAAGATTGTGATGAAGACTATATGGAATCAGATAATGGATAGAGACATGATAAAGAGATGATGAGATTTGGATCGATAGATAATAGGTAGATGCATAGATCAATGAACAGATGTAGATAGATGATATCAATAGATAATACATACATTGGTTTTTAGATGATCAATAGATGCAGCTAGATAACAGGTTGATAAATTTATAGATTGATTCAGAGGGGGAAGGGAGAGAGAAAAGAGAGAGAATAGAAATAGATACCTTTGCTCAAATTTTTCTATGTCTAAGCTTCTCTTAGAATTTCTGTAAGTTCCATCCCCACATCAGCAAGACATTTATACCTCAATGCATCTGTGTCTCACATGATCTGCAGGGTCTTTCCCATCACACTTCTACCTGTTGCTCTTCATGTCCACCCTTTAAGAAAAACCCACCACTCACTCTGCTCTAGAGTCCATTGCCCTCCCTCTTGGGTATTGACAAGTCACAAGAATACCTCAAAGTTCCCTGCTGGCTTTCAGAACTTGATTAAAGAATGTAGATTTGCCATGGGGCCTAGAAAATACTTCTTCCTGTTTGAGGTTTATACTCAACTTTACCATTAGAAGTGTTAATATTTTATGCAAAATGTTTAGCAAGGGGAAAATCAACCAAATGAGAAGACTAGAATCTTTGTTGTCCCAAGCTGTAACTTGAAATATTTATGGCTCTGGAAAACAAATTTGGAGAGAGAACTTTCTAGAAGCCAAAGAGGTAATTTGCTCCTTAACTCCTCCCCATCCAGTTTTCTGCAATAAATGGATTCCTGAACTCCTATATTGAAAGTAAAGAGGCATGTGGTTTTGGAGATGACTGGCCTCCAAGACGTCCCATCAGCAAATTTACCAAAACTGGGCATGTACTGCCAGGGACACTTACAAGAACAGACACACTTTCACCTCCTGCTGACTCTCCAAAGATGGTCACAGAACCTGGGTCTCCTCCAAAATTGGCAATGTTGTCTTGAACCCAGCACAGTGCAGCCACTTGGTCCAAATGACCCCAGTTTCCCCGGCTGTGTTCATCCCCTGTGCTGCAAGAAAATATAAGGGGACATAAATAGAATAGCTAGCAAGTCTCCCAGGTACTGGGATGGACTTGGGGTCCTCAAGGAACCTTTCAGAACAAGGCTATGCTTTTATGCCTGACACAGAGGACTTCACCTGCCTCTCATGCCTACATTGATCTTTGTGGGGCTCTCACTATATCGTTCAGCAGCTGTGTACTGAGTATCCATCATCCATCCATACAACTGCACTTCTGGAATACTAAAAGACAAAATCTGATTACATTCATTTAACACTATGACCACAAACCAACAGATTCGAAGGGTATATCATGCTACTGGAAAAAGGAAGTCACACAAAAAGAGGCAGAGATAGAATCATGAGGTAGTATTAAAGTCTCATGACTAGAGAAAGCCTCACTGAGGCAGTGGCATTTTATTTGGTATAGACCTAATTAAAATTACTACAGGTCTTATTAGCATCTAGAGCATCGAATTTTAAACTGTGGGTCACAACACCTTTGGTGGTCACTTATCAGATATTTACATTATGATTCATAACAGTAGCAAAATTGCAGTTATGGAGTAGCAATGAAAATATCTTATGGTCGGGGGTAACATGAGAAACTGTATTAAAGTGTGGCAGTGTTAGGAAAGCTGAGAACCACCAATAAAGAGAATGTAATTTAGGTTATGAGCAACATCAGATACAAAAACCCTAGGACTAACAGTGTGAGGGTGGTTGCTGTGAAATGCAGGTAGAATGGGACTGAGAGACTTAGTGAGAGTTCCTGGGTTAGTATACAAAATGGGGGACATTATGCAGGGGACAGACATAACTCAGTCATCTAATAGAGTCTTCTGGAAACTATGTGGAGCACACTCATAGTAAATTAACAAGTTTATATAAACTAAAGCCTTATAACAGGCTAGAAACTTCGAGGGTTGATTAGTAAATAAAGAGAATGGATGTTGGATATGGACTAGGAGAAAAGGAGGAGTCCAAAAGCCTCTTTGTCCAGGTCACCCAGGAAGTTGGAGCTGCTAGCAGCTATGCAGAGGATCTTATGGGAAACAAACAAGGTCTTTGTTGTAGGGAACAATTACTTGGTGACCAAGGTCTTATGAAGAGGGATGTGCCCTGCGCACAACCAGAGGGGACATGAGGTGTTAGCAAAAGAAAAGCATCGAGGTTCAAAAGCTGAAGACTATAAACAGGAACTGTGTTAAGTACTTCTGGGGTCACTCAGGGAGCTAGTAGAGAGGGAGACACATATAGCCTGAAGACAGAGTAAGGAAGGACTGAGAAAGAGCCACCACCCAAAGCCATGAACTGGAGCATCTCAAAGAGGCCAGAATAAATCATCTGTGGCTGGTGCGGTGAGCCACAAAAGCTTGGGGTGAGCACTGGTAGAGTTCATGGTTGGTCTTGAGAATAGTCTGGCAGTGTAAATAGTAAAAGACTTGCCTGAACCACCACTAACAGAGCTCCCTACATGAGCCCACTCCTTCCATATTTTCCTGTGAGAAGACATCAAACATTCAGGGGCAATGCTGGTGCTGATCCTGTCATTAGAGGAATGCAGAGAGCTGAGCAGCACAGGTGAAAATGGATGAGGAATTAAATGACAGCAACAGGAAGAGTGGGTCTCCCAGGGCAAGTGAAAATTTGGTGAGTGCAGTAAACATCCCAAAAGTGAGCCCAGAAGGAAGTGGACCAATATGGTTGGAAAAGAAGAGGGTTATGGCCCAAGAACGAGAACTGTGAACATCTTGAAGAAACTCAGCAAACATCCTCATGAAGAATCACATCACTAATGCCTTTTTGATTTTGCAGACTCCATGGTTTAGATGCGATTGATATGACAAGGGTTAATGTGCTGGGGTCTTGGTCCCTAAGGAGACCAAGCATTACACAGTGATAAAATCTGTGGAAAGTGAGGCCCAGTGGAAAGTAATGAGGTCAAGGGGCACAGTGTTCTTTTAGGATCTGTGTGCTCAGGGGAATCAGGTTATTTCTTTAGACAGTGAGCTTGTACCTGTGTGAGTTTACTTGTGCTAATAGTTTTTTGTTTGTTTGTTTGTTTTTGTCAACTTGAAAAACAATCTAGAATCCTGGAAAAAGAGAACGACAATTGAGAAAATGCCTCCATCCAATTAACCTGTAGGCAAGCTTAATTAATTACAATGTTCCCGAGGGGGGAGATCCCTGTCTACCATAGGTTGTCCTTCAATATATGAAAAGTATGATGAGTGAGCCTTGAGAGCTAGCCAATAAGGGCATTCCTCCATAGTCTCTGTTTTAGTTTTTTTCAAAAATTCATGAACTAAAGTCCCTCAATGATCAGCTTTGGTTGGGACGCATAAGCCAAATAAAACCTTTCTTTCCTAGGCTGCTTTTGGTTATGATATTTATCACAGTAATAAAAAGAAAAGTAAGACATTTACCTGCCCCTCCCTTCTCCCCACCTTATTGTCTTCCCATGTGCTTTGTCCTTTATCCTACAAACTAAAGTTATTTTCCTCCACTACTCATTGTAAGGTAGAGCCTTTTACCATCCAGCTTTCCTGAAATAGCCCAGCCTATTTGGTGACTTTGGGCTCCTAGATTCTATGCCTAGTAAATCTATCTTCTATATCATCAATCAGTTTCAGGTATGTTGCTATTTTAAAAAAAAGTACCATGCAGGTCTAATGAGGCAGATAGGAAGATCCAAACACCTACCTAAAGAATCCCCAGATGCTCAGGCGATACTGAATGGTCACCACCACCACGTTTTCATGTGCAGAGAGGGCCAGTCCATCATAGGTGGATGCCCCACCCAGTACCAGTCCTCCTCCATGGATCCACACCATTACCTGGGCAACAAGAAAAGAATCATCCTGGTCATAGGAAATAGAATTAAGAAGGAGCTCATATGTTTTCTGGTTTGGTTTTCTTGGCCAGAACCTGACTTGAGGATATCACCACTTAACTTCAAGGAGTGGAAGCAAGTTGCAAAAGGTGGTCTCTGCCATCATCGTGCCTGGCTAGGCCCTGGATGTCATCATCGTCATCTTCCTTTCCTTTTCCCCATGGACCCGCCCTTGTCTGTGTCTATTCAGGTCTTTTCAAAGTAAGAAGCATTATAAGTGCTGGAGAGATGGCCCAAATATTAAGAGAACTGGATGGTCTTTCTGAGGTCCTGAGTTCAATTCTCAACAGCCACATAGTGGCTCAAAATCATCCGTAATGAGATTTAGTGCCCTATTCTTGCCTGTAGGGACATATTAAGGTAAATACTATATACATAATAAATAAATATTTACAAATAAATAAGAAGACAAAGCATTATCAGGAAACAAGGGGTCCAGGGATATCACGTGCTCTCTACCACTACACCATCCTGATGCCTGAAAAATTAGTGTGAGATGGTATTCAAATTTTACTTTCAGCTCTGTCAATACAAATGTACCTGAGGGATTGTCTTAAGATCCACACACATCCTCAATGGCACCCCTTTCCAGTGGTCCCTCTCTCTGCTGCTTCTGCATACTCAAGTTCTCCCCCATCCTGTAAAGCCCTGTTCTCATCCACATCCTCTGTGAAGTCTTCAGTCATGTAACTACATGAGTACCTAGAACACATCAAGGATTGTGAGTAGACTTGAGGCCAAGGGAGCACACAATAGCCTCTAACTCATGGCCACAATTCAGTAAGCTTCTGCTAGACAGAACCCCTGAAACTCTAGGGCATTGTTAACAAAGAGTAAGGCTATAATCCTTTCTTTCTGGTTCATTGCTGCTACAGTCTTGTCTACTGATCCAGGACTGGCTTGATAGTCACCATCGAGTGCTCACACAGATAACTCCTGTTTCAGGAGAAGCAGCTGAGAAAGTAAACCATGGTTTGGTCTTTCAGAAAGTGAAATGTAGACTAAAGATTCAAACCCAGATCCTGTGGTCAAAGCTTTGTGGACATTGCTGAGGAGTTTCCTACCCCTAGGCTCCTAGAGATCCTATTCCTTCTCCTATAGGACTGATTATGTCCAAGGAAAGACTGAGTCAAATTTATCTGGAGTAAAGACTGAGCTCAAGGGCTTTTGGAATGCTCAAGATGTTGTGATGTATGTGCTGACCACATGATAAGGCCCTGGCAGGCAAGGCTCTCCACAATATTCTATGTTCCTGTTTCCTCTGACCCCGAGTATGCCTGTGTAGACACACTGAGTTCACAACAGAGGCAAATGAATAAGTGGAAATGAGATTTATTTTCACCTCCTTATGCAAACTATGCATGCTTAGGACCAAACATTATTCTCAAGATCACAGCCTCCTCCTTCATTTCTGAGTTCTATCCTAGAGGATTCTGGGAGACTGGGTAGGTTCTCACACCCTGTCTTATTCCACTTCAAGGATTATGTCTTTTATAGTAGTCCTCCTTAAGACTCTGGCCTATAACTGGCAGTGTGTCCTACTCCTACCACTTAATTTCTATGGGAAATGCTGACTCACTAGGCCATCAGCACATGCTAAAGACAACTAGGGAGTGGAAGGAGCTACAATAAAATCACAGATAGTTGGCAACAGACATGAGAAGTGCTTATGAAATTGACCCAGATTCCTCCCTCCACACAGCCATCATGGGCGATGAAATTTCCCACCTGGCAGTAAAATTTGGCACAGGTAATGTGGAGAGAATGGTAGCACACATATCACTGCCAGCCCCTGCCTAGGAGTATGGGTGTGAAGACTGAAGACACAGGCTCTTGACCTGTGATCCCTTCCTTGTGTGTGCCCTCCCTTCCCTACCTGAGCCTCAGTTTCTCTATCTGTACAGAAAGGCTTGGAATGTTCATTTTTTCTGTGTGATTCCTTCTGGCACTAACATCACTGTAAATTGTGTCTTGGGTGCTCTGGAGTCAGATCCTAATATAATAACTGAAAGCTGAAAATAGCCTTTTTCCTTTTAGTATGCAAAGACAGTATGCAAAATGAGGATGCAATTCCAGGTGAGCAACAAAGCTGATGTCGTTGGGCAACTGTGAAACAAGGAAAGGTGTGGTCAGAGGAAACCTGCAGTCAGTCTGGCCATGGTGCCCTGTGCCAGCTGATGCTGTTGTCTTCTAGTGGCACAAAGATCTAGATGCTGGAACTCAAAAATCTGAGTCACTGGACTCCATACTTACTGGCAGCCTGTTTCTGTTCTTCCTCAAGTCTGCAGGAGTGTAAATATTCAGGTAGAGACAGTCTTCCGAAAACTGGAGATGAATTTTCTCCTTGGTGTTTATTAGGAGATCATTGACCATCTGACCTGTAGCTGCATCTTGGGAACACCTAAGAGGAGAAAAGAAAAGAGTAGATTCTCCTCCAGAACAAATCTGAAAAAGTCACCTTGAAGGCTTAATGCTATCAATAAAGCTATTTTCACTGGACCAGACTTAGATGCAATTGGTAAGAGGGTATCTAAGAATACTAGTAGGAAACCCGGGACTCTAAGAGTCTCCCAACCCTGAAGATAGAGATCAATTTGATGCCTCACTCTTTCCAGAGGGCCTTTGAGAAGCTCTGGGCCAAGGATAGAAATACACATATAGGGAGTGCCCTGCTCTGGGAAATGATATACCCATGCTACAGGGCTCTGCACTCCAAAGTGCTTTGTACAGTAGGCTGTGGGCTATATGTGCTCCTCCATACTCTGCCTCTTGGGAGACTTCTGTTAACCAGAAGGGCTACCTCTAATGACAGCCTGGTGTAGGTCAGGAGTGATAGCTTTGTGGGATATCCTTGTAATAACTGCCTTCTCTTCTGCCTTAACCATTGATGAGCTGGATGGCCTTGCATGAATTCATGCTTTGCTCTGGGTCCCAAACTTCCGTGTCCATATGAGGTGAGTGCTTAAGGGGATGGGATATCAGGCTTTTTATCGTCTCCTTATCCCAGCAATCACTACTGTATTCTGTGATAACAGATTACAGGGGTGAAAAGGTAGCAATTGTGTCTGGCATTGATTTAAATTCTCCTAATGAACAAACAGCAAACCATCCCTACTCATGAATTCTATTTTTACCCTCAGATTATGGATGAAAAAAAATGAAGACAAGGAAGTTTGAGAGTCTGCCCAACATCACACAACTAGGGGGATCCAGGCTGTAAAGTGCTTTTAATTCAAGCAAATTATAAGTAACATTATCCATTCTTATGTGACACAGATGGAAGTCACACTGTCCTCCTTATGTCTAAGTGAGGCTCTCAGTGCCAGAATGAAGAAGTTGCAAGAGGCTCAAGTGAAACAAGAAAAGGTATTTCTAGACACTTATTCTCTGGAGGATTTCTTACATCAACAAAAAAGAATTCAAATTAATTTGAGAGTAATAATTCAAACTATCAAAATGAGGAAAATACAACTTCACTAGTATTTAAATAAATTCCACAACAATAAATAATATTTATTATTGTTTCAGTTATTATATTAAATCTTGTTTACCCCAGAGTCACACATTATTTATTCTGTACTTTTTATTTATGCATATGTGTATGTATATATGAGGGTATACACATTTTATAAGACTGACCATGAAGATAAGAAGAAAGCACTGGACGGCCTGTAGCTAGATTTATAGGCAATTGTGAGTCAGCTAATGTTGCTGATAGGAACTAAACTCTGGTCCTTTGCAAGCTCAGCAACTGCTCTTAATTGTTGAGTCCACTTTCCAGTGCCCACAAATTATTCATTTAATAAGGCCAAGCACTGGCAGGTGTCTATGAATGAATGTTCCCATATGTCCATGGGAGAAACTGACAGACCTAGATATTCATGGAGGGAAACTTAAAAAATGTCTTAGTCATTCCTCAGAAATGTCTTGGAACCAACTGAAGCAGCCATCAACATGTACAATTACTAGTCACAAGATCATGGCATCATTTATACAATCAAGAATACCAAAGACAATTTCATGGCACCAAGTTAGAGACTGAGCAGACACATTGCAGTTCCCTGTTGGATTTTTTGTTGCTATTAAATATCAGGCTGTGATACTTAGTGACAGAGTGGCATTGATGGCACCTGTAAGCCTGGAGGCAATTTAAGCTTTCTGAATGTAAGAACTATTGTCAGGGAAATAGGTAACAAGCAAATGACTGAAAAGTAATATTAATGTTATAATAACAGATCTCTTCTGATAGGGATATTGTATGTGGCTTTTGTTTTCTTACATTTACTTCTGTATGTTTCTTGAATTGTCTGCAGTACTCATATTACATTTGGGATCAGAACATAAAAACATAAGATATGATATCATAAAAGAAGGCAGCTACAGGTGGAACCTTTAGTGTCCTCAGATGTCCCTACTTAGGAGACAAATAACATCTGAAGTGGTATTTGTGAGTGTCTTGGATTCTCTGGGGGTGGCTATGAGGCCATATAGAACTGCCATCATTTCACCATCTGACCAGGATAACTGGAGCCCACAAAGCACTGTTCAGATTGTTAGTGGGCAGCTAGACATATGTGGTGGTGTCATTCCCTTCTTCATGTCCCCTACAATTTTCAGCAAAGAAGAGATAGCACTAAGATATATAGCACTGGAATATCTCTTTTCCTTATTTATCATATTCTACCTTATTGCATTATTTATTTGTTCACTTCTGTGATTTCTCTGGTCCCTCTCTTGCGCTAAGACACAGCACAATATATCTAGGAGTTTGAATTTGATTCATGAGTGTGTCTTCATACCTGGCCCAAGACAGGAACTCAATGGACTTTTGCTGATCAGAGGACCACAGAAAGCTATTGTGGTTCAGAAATGATTCTACAGTGTTCATGAAAGACTCCAAAACAATACATAGTATATCAGAGAATTGTTTTGATTCCTTCCTGCATCACTCAGAGACACAATTCCTAACTGCAGGAGTGGCTTACATAGGAGGGTAGGAGGTGGCATTCTTCACCAAGTTCCACGGCTCTGCAGGCTGCGGTGGAGCAAACCTCAGGGATCCAAGAGGAGGCTTGGCAAAGGGGACTCCCAGGAAGACAGCCACAGGCTGTGTGAATCCTTGTAAGTGAACATATTTCCCCAGAACTTTGCCATGAACAGTGTTCACCACAGGTGATAAGGATGGGTGTCCTGCTAGACAAAGAAATGACACATAAATTCATCAGTAGGAAAAGGTCAGACCTGGGTTCTAGGTGGGTTTGGGAACTTGAAGATGTGGCATTGAATAAATCATTAGAACTTTTATAGGTCTCATTTGCTTCTGACATAAAAGGACTAAGAAGAAAACAGCCCTCATGTGAGAGCACCAAAAATAAGTAAACTGAAATTGAAACTGAAAAAGCATCTCTCAGAAGCTCACTGCAAACAGAGGATAAACTCAGTAAACAAGACCCTGCTTTGCCTCTTAGAAGCCTCTGAAGACTCTTATCCAATAAGATCCTGGGCAGAGACACATGTTGGATGAGGGAACAAACAAAAGTTACCCGACATCTCAGAGTGGCCGAGCAAATGCTGTGAAGAAAGAGGTGCATCCTGTGAGAAGAATTAGGTAGATGCCTTTGAAGTTAGAAGAATGAAATGTGTACCAAAAAAAACTTCTGGACTCTTTCAAATAGAACAAATGGTGTGTAACACTGAGGAGTCTTCATGGGAAAGTAGCTTATAAAATGGTATCCATGGCACATGGTTTCAATATAGTGGGTACATTTGGGTTATTTTTCATTATTTCTGTTTCTAATTCGAATGTATTGCTAAACAAAACCAAGTGAAGATTGGAGTAGAGATGTATATTTGATACCCAATTTATGATGTTTTGATTTAATGACATTTAACTAATGATGAATATTTTTACTTTAAAATCATTAGATTATGCAAGAGTGCTGTCAGGAGGAAATGCACCATGAAAGCCTGGGCAGTAGGAGAGGAAGATTGGCAAAATCACTGAGTGTCAGGTTACAAATCACTTATGTATAAAGGGGCATTAGTTCGGTGATGAATTTTCCCCGATAGCAGCCAGAGTAAAGTGTGTTTGGTTATAATGAAGAATATTACCAACAGTTGATACCACTTACATTGTATGGAATTATCATATATTGGACATCTCCCATATGCCAAATTTACATTTCAGTTCCTTCAATATTCTCCAAAGTCCTGCTAGGTACTGCTAATATGCCCACTTAACAGTATTTGGAAGTATAAACTTCCAAAAGATGGAATTGGGGTAGCATTGCCAGGATAACCAGCACCACAGAAGAATTCTTCCCCATATCCCTTTTTTACTGTACTCAGTCTAGGCCTTCCTCGGTATCTTATGTCTACAGAAAATATAAGCTCAAGGAATGAAGAGGCTGAATTCATGGGCCAGAGGTAGATCAGATAATGAATTTATAGATGATCTCCCCAGAGTTATGTTCTGTATGTTCGGGACTGTATGTTCAGACTAAATGCTACACCATATACTAACTGTAAATATAATCTGTATGTCTGATGTTTTCACGTTTAGGACCCCATTGCTCTGTAGGAACTGTCACTCTTATCGTCTGTCTAATCTAGTGTCAGTACTTCTGCCAGTTCCTTTATCCAGACCTCATAGCATGAATCATTTTGTTTGCTTTTGTCCCTAGAACCTTATACCACACAATCAAAGCAGGTAGCATTCCCTAGTATTCCTTGCAATTCAAACAAATCCTATACCTACTTATACTGCTTCTCCTCTGTGTTCAGAAGAGATCCGAAAGAGCCAAGACTCCCTACTCCTGTGTTTCCTGGCAGAACCCGGTTCTGCTCCTTTGCTCTACACCCAGTTCTGTACCCCTTCCCTTAAGAATCCCTAATAACAAATGCCTTTCCAATGGTCATTAGATTATGGTGCGTTGACCTGACTACATCTTTTCTTTTAATCCACTCCATTTGCAATCTATCCTTGTTTATCCACGCATTTCTTACACTTTCTTTCAACAACCACCATGCTATACACTTTAGAAAAAAAAAACAAACAAAAATCTATCTAATCCACTGTACAGTTCATAAAAGTAAGAACTTGAAGTGCCCTCATCCCTCTTTGTGAGATCCAGGTTGACTCCTTCCTTTCTGTACCATCATGTGCTACTGGATCTCAGAGTTATTGCACTCTCCTAATGCCACTGTGTTCAGGCTCAGGGCAACCCTGGTCTGGGCCACTCCACAAGGGAACCCCAGGCTGAGAGAGCGAAAACCCTGCCAAGTTAGATCTATCTTGCCTTTTTTATACACACATCTCTGTCTACCTCTACCTGGAGCAAACATTTTGACTTGTATTTAAAAGAACTCACCCAATGCCATGCACGCTGACAGAGACACCAGAATCAGAGCACAAAGGCACATCATGGAAAAACAGGCTTGCAATCCAGTGAAGTCTTCAACTCTGGTCTGTAGTAAAGGAGAATGTCCTGGTGTGCTCTGCTGGAGATGCACCCAGAAATCTTGGCCATTAAGCACAATTTTAAAATCCTTGATGACAGAAAATCCCTCCCTCTTCTAAGATGCTCCCAGGGCTCTCCGTGAGATATCTAAGCTACACCTCTTGTTTACTCTGCTTAACCTGTGTATTCACACACCCATAGTTTGCCCTCTTTTGTTTGAATAGTCACAGCCCAAATCTCAGATCACAGATGTCAAGAAACTCTTCCAACAACTTTTTCTTCATGTATTTCTCCCTCTAATGCTCTCAACTCAGTGCTCTAGAATCTGTCCAGAGCCTGGCCAATGCCTTCAGAAGAGTGAAGCTTTAGTTGGGGATCCTCATAATAGGTTAGCAATCCTTAGAGCTCATTACAATCCCAGAGATGCTTGTCACAGAGTTTACAACACATCTCTTAACTTCTGTAGCCTGGTATTTTCAGGGTTTCTCCATTGTGGTAGTGATCTTAAATTCTATCCAGGCTCCTTAGTAAAGTCTAAATTAGCTTTGCAATATTTCTGCCAAGTGACCCCACCTGGTGTCACACACAGCCAAGGTCAAGGATCTCACTAGCATTCATAGCAGACATTATATATAGAATTATTTCCCTTATAGTAAATGAGCTGCATTTCCCTAAATTCTTTGCTCTAATTATCTGTCTATCCACTATTTCATATTTATTACAAACAGTTATCAAAGTGAGTGGCCCTTGAGAACTGTTGTGGATGGTAAGATGATTCCAAGACACAGACCCTTTTCTCAAGCAATGCTCTGAACAGACGACAAACACTGAAGTGCATGTGAGAACTCAACCCTAGAGGGGTACAGTGTAAGGGTGCCCATGAGAGGGTCCCCTTTATAAGGTGCAGATGATTTAGTAATGTAGTTCAAGTCCTCTTTCATGATGATTCTAAATGCCCTATGAGAGGTATGTCTTTCAACTGTTCTGGTACACCTGACTATTCACTCAAAGTTGAGATGAGAGTCTCTAGGTATTGGTATGGAAATACAGACATGTCATATCATGAAGGGAAAATGCAAGTCATAGATTATCATGTTTGCTTTGGGACATAGTTTGTTAGTTCTCTGAAAAATCAATGTAGAATTTTCCCACAGGGTTCAAAAACTCCAGGCCTAGGTATGTACTCAAGATAATTAAAAATGCCAGCCATACAAAAACTTCTATAAAAATAACACTCTTATCTATAATAGCCCCAAAGTGAAGCTATCTCAAATGAATGGCTAAATAAAAACATCATCCTGGGTGGTAGGGTCTAAGGAAAATAAATATTGAGGATTAAATGCTAATGTGTAGTAACCTGTTTTGTGGGGCTTCAGTCAGATCCAGTCAACTTGCCTGATTCATACCTGACAGGGAGAGTGTGGATTGAGAAGCGTCAGGTAAAGATACTAAGGAAAAGATAGAGACACAGAATAGAGGCACGAGGGAAATCCAGTCAATACTGGATGCCCCAAGTTTATTCTTCAACATTTTTAAATACCCCAGCTAAAAATGGGGATGTGTCAAGACCTCATTATCAAGATAAAAGGAAGAAACAGACTTTCTTCCTTAATTCTCCAAACATTTTGTAACCCTGCCTTAGATTAAATCTCTCCTTATCTAGCTTTGAGGTTTAAGAGTAACCACACCTCAGGCCCAGACTCTTGGTATTATGATTAGATATCCATTCCTAAGACCAAACATCCTACAGTAGCCATGCCTTAGACCTTTAGGTCTTAAGACTTTAACCTTAGAAGAGTAGGGATAGTTTTGAACTCTCTGACCTTAACTCAAGATGAAGCAAAGCCATTTTTTATGGGCCCTGACACTAATGGAAGGAATTGCTGTTTGGTTTTAATCTTTTCTTTTCAGTGAGGAAAACATGTTGGGAAAAATAGTGATGAGTATAAAGTACACTATGCATCTTTAAAATACACCTTATTAGTTTTCTTAGAACTTCACACCATGTGTTCTGATCACGTTCCTCCCCACCTCTTTCCATCATTCCTCCAGACCCACTCCCACCTCTTTGCTCCTTCGACTTCATGCCTTCTCCTTTATTTCAAATAACCCATTAAGTCCAGTTGTGCTGCCCATGTATTCCTGACACTATCCACTGTAGTCAAACCCTTAAAGAAACCAACTCTCCCTCCCCCACAAGCCATCAGCTGTCCAAAGATATTCACTTAGGAGTAGGAACCTCATTGACCCCTCTGCTTTCATATAGAGGGTTGACTGGCTTTAGCTTGTACATGTCTTGTGCAGGCATGCTGTGAGTTCACAAGTGTAACAATGCTGTCATCTCCAGAATAAAGTATTTCACTTTGGTTCTCCTCAATCATCGACTCTTATAACACCCCCCTCAATGAAATGGTTCCTAAATCTTGTGTTTTATAATTTAAAGGGTGTATTCTAAGTAAGTTATAGTTTCATGAACTAGAAACTTTTAGACACAGTATGTATAATCTGACCACGTGTTTAATAGCAGCAAATATCTATAATTGCACAGGAAACATTCTGAATGCTTTGTATCTAATTATTCAAAAAACAATGCTTTGACTCTAACATTGAGTTTTCATTTTCTATTTTTATCCATTCTTACATTATTTTCCCAAATGTTTCTTGAGAGCCAGCAGTGTGGAGAACCACGTGCTTGGTGTTCTGTGTGCAGGACAGCAGTGTTCAGAATAACCCGGTGATTCACTCTAGAAGATCCTGCATTCTTTTCACAAGGCAAAATGCTTTAATCCATGCAGAATTACACTGACTGTTCTGTAGCCAAAATAAAGATGAAAGTGCTAAGGGGTTAGGAAAGTCACAGGAGAAAGCAGAGGCCAACAGAGGTGTGTTTTCTTCCTCAGATCAAACCAATGTTGAAGAGTTAGAATCAGTTTCCAGAGATGATCTACTCTATAAACACTGGCCTGGGCCAGGATTTCTCCTTTGCTTTTATCTACAAAAGAAGTTGTGGTGGTCCTCTTTCCCTCTGGGCCTGTTGGGCACCTGACAGAGAAGGGAAAGAGGCAGGAGGGGAGACAGAAAGCTTTGTTT